AGCAAATAAAACCCCACAACCACGATCCGCATGTCGGTCAACACTAGAGCTCGCCGACTCAAAGCATCAGCGACACGATTAGAAACACCAGATCGATGCTTCAATACAAAAGTGAATTGCTGGAGATACGCGGTCCACGAGGCATGGCGAGAAGAAATGTTGTCCTGCGAGGCCAGATGTCGCAATGCCTCGTGATCAGTGAACAGGATAAACTCCCGATGGAACAGATAATGACGCCAATAACGAACAGCCCGCACAACCGCATAGAACTCCATATCATAAGTACTATAGCGAAGACGAGGGCCGGATAACTTCTCGCTGAAAAATGCCCCTGGCGTGCATCCAGACTGAGAACCGCACCAATGCCGACCTTGGAAGCGTCGCAAGAGAGCTCAAAAGGTCGCGAAAAATTCGGAAGAACCAAAACTGGAGCGGAAGTGAGCTTGCTCTTAATAAGAGCAAAAGCATCCGTAGCCTGAGGAGTCCACATAAAGGTCTTCCCTGTAAGACAGTCCGTAATCGGCACCATAATCAAACTGAAATGAGCAATGAATCGTCGATAAAAGGAAGCTAGGCCATGAAAACTCCTGGCCTCGATAAACGAAGTAGGAGTCGGCCAATCACGAATGGCTGCTATCTTACCCTCATCCACACGAACACCCTCAGCAGAGATAACGAAACCCAAGAACAACACAGAATCAACGAAAAAGACACACTTCTGAGGGGCAGCATAAAAGGACTCGTCCGAAGAATAAGCAAAACAACTCGCAAATGCAAAAGATGGTCCTCAAGAGTGCGACCATAGATAAGAATATCGTCGAAATAAACGACAACACACTTACCGATGAGGTCCCGGAGTGCCTGGTTCGTAACACGCATAAACGTACTGGGCGCGTTGGACAAGCCGAATGTCATAACCAACCACTCGAACAAACCCTCCCGGATCTTAAAGGCCGTTTTCCACTCATCACCCGGTCGAATTCGTATCTGATGGTTGCCGCTATGAAGGTCCAACTTTGTAAAAATGGAAGCACCGTGGAGCTGATCCAATAAGTCATCAAGGCGTGGAATGGGAAATCGGTGACGGATAGTAATCTTATTGATCGCCCGACTATCCACGCACATGCGCCAGGAACTGTCTTTCTTTGGAATGAGTAAGGCAGGCACCGCACAAGGACTTAGACTACGTTGCACCACACCCCGCTGTAACAATTCCTCCACCTGGCATCGTAACTCGTCATGCTCAGCCGGGCTCATCCGATAATGAGGACGATTCAGAAGAGATGCTCCTGGTACCAAGTCAATCTGATGTTGAATGTCCCGGAGGGGAGGGAGACGGGCTGGTAGATCCTCCGGAAAGACGTCTGCAAATTTCTCGAGTAACGGGCGAACAGCCGGCAGAGGTAAAAGGTCGGATGTGAGTTCGGTTCCCAGAAGTAGAAGAATAAAAGGGGCCTTGCACATTTCGTCTGCGAACGCGGCCCGAGAGAGAAGTGAAACTGGGGAAGGACACAGAGCAGGTAGAGAACGCAACGGTGATGGATGAAGAACAACCTTAACACCGTCCAACATGAAGCTATAAGTATTCAGACGACCGTCATGTGCCACCGAGCGGTCGAATTGCCACGGTCGTCCCAGCAGAAGGTGACATGCATCCATTGGCACGACATCGCACCACACCGAGTCGCGATAACGGGGCCTGATCGAAAAAGAAAGTAACACTCGACGATCAACTGTGATGGAATTCCCCCGTTGAATCCAAGCTAATGTGTACGGATGTGGGTGTGGCTCGGTTGACAGGTTAAGCTTGTCCACCGCCTCCTGTGCCACCACATTTTCGCATGAGCCTGAGTCGATGATATAGCGGCAAACTTTCCCCCCGATAGTACACGTAGACTCAAAAATGTGATGTCGCTGAGCCGATTCATTAGAGCCTGCACGGGGCGCCAAACACGAACGTCGGATAATGAGGGCAGGCCCGATGTCCCCACTCCAATGTTCCTCGGTCATATATGGTTCCTCGTCAGAATCGGTGGTGAGTCATAGACCACGCCATCTC